AAAACCTTTAATTAAAAATAATAACGATAGTAGATCCAGAAGTGTGAAATATATACAAATTACGGTCTCAAGAATTTCTATTTAAGCGCAAAATGGATTGCGATAAATAGATATATTTTTATAATAGCTTGAATATAATTTTAAAGATACTTTATATGGGCCGCTTCCTCATTTATTGCCCCAGGACATCATACTGGTTATACTTAATCGATTTCTTTTGATTTTAATACCGATATAAAATATATTATTATTAAATATAATATATTATTAATAAATTTAGTATAACGCCATCTATATTATCCTTTTTTATTTACAAGAATAATAAAAATTTTAATAAAATTAAAAAAACAAAAATGGCTATCGAGATTTTTCATTAAATAGTTTAATATAAAGGTAATAAACATTTTTAGAGAGTATCAACACCAAAAAAAAATCCCTTCTCAGGAATGTTAATTTTTTATTTTTACCGGAAATACAAAAACACTTAAAATTTTTTAACTTTTTTTCAATATTTTCCAATGTAAAATTTTAAGGGCTATAAAGTGATATATTATTTGTAATTCTATCTTAAGTATTTTTTAAGAAAAACAAGATATAAGAAATCACGCATTGCGCGATTCTCTACTTTGAAGGCGTATATCTTTGGATCTGGTTGAGCTGGGGCTCTAAAATTTGGATTTTATTAACATTTACAACATAAATAACTAACATGCCAAGTTTCATTCATTTTTGAGTTGGTCGGCCGAATCATTGGTCGATTTGTCATGGAATTACATCTGAAATCCAAATTTGACTTGGATTGGAAGTTTTAAATTTCCTCCAAACAAATTCCCAAAATATAGGAATTACTCCTAACAAGCCCAAAACGAAAATCTGTTCCCTTGATAACAATGTTACGGAGTGACCGAGCTACAAAATCGTAGACCTTAATAATCTTTTCCTTAGAATCACCCTTATCATCAAACATCCCTCCATCTGAGGTATTATTATGCAAAATTTTTAATATCTTTTACATCGAAAATATTTTAAATATGCTTCCAGCTTCCAGAGCTTTCGCAAATACCTATATATCCACACAATTCTACATTTATTCCGATTCTCTTCGCTTTTCCTTTTGAAAAATTTCATAGAAATTTTAGGAACACTTTTTAAATTTCCTGGAAAAAAATTTTATATCTAAATTTAATTACGTTTAACTGGAAATTAGCCTAATTATATGGAAAATTAGGGGGTTGACTTAATATCATTCCATACTCTGCCTTTTTCCTATTTCCTGTCTTCCCGTTTAACAAATAATTCACTAAGATCGTCCTAACGATAATTTACATTTTTTGTATTACATGTATATTTCAATATATGTTATAACTATTCATAATTTAAATAAAGTATATTGTTTCATATGGATAAAATAATTAATATTTTCTAGTTACTATTATGTTAATAGTAATACATACAAAGTTTTTGTGTTATAGAAAAAAATGACAATGCAGTGAATGGGATTAAAATTAAAAGTCTTTTATTAGCCATTTAAATTAATATTTATATGAACGAATTAAATAATGAATAATTAATCAAATAAATGAAATATTCGATTCGTTTACTGAACACTACAGAATAGAGGTATTGGGTCAAATTTTTGAAAAAGTTTTTCGACTCTCACCGTAAAATTATTGTACAATTTATCCCGGCCGTTAATAATTTGTCATGAAGGAAAAAGACACCGAGTTGCCTCCTTGATTGATAAGAAAATTTGCAAAAACCATTGTACACACGTTGTCTAGACTGGCCTGAAAATCTTTTTTCGTCGATATCTATTGTAGAATACATAGTATTTTAGTAACTTAAATTTTGGAAAATTATTTTATTTCCACATCTAGGGAAACTTTAGTGAAGTTCTAACTGTATACGCATTGTATATTTGTATTTGATGTTATTTTTTTTTTTAATTAATTTTTGCGATACCAATGACATAACGAATTGAATAATTTTTACTCTTATTATAATCATCATTCAATAAGTATTATGTTTCATCAAATATTCGATTGGAAATATATTTTTTTAAATTTTATTTAAAAAAAGCATTATTAGATTTTGGAATCGATAAAAAAATATACTTATGAGTAATTTTATATATTTACGAGTAATTTTGAAAATTTACCAGTAATTTCTAATATTCAGGAGTAGTTCTTTCGAATCATTATACTTCTAGTTGAACGAATAATTTCCCAAAATTATTCTCTGGATTAAATAATCCTGCTATCCCTAAAATACTAATCGGAACAAATAATTCAGTTTTAGAACCGTTCTCTTTTTGATGTATAATCGTTTTACCCCATTTTTTAAATGGGTTCATTTAAGGCAAATTTATCTTTAACATTATTAAGATAGCCCTGCTTCTTTAAGTTAGAAATAAATTACGTTAAAAATAGGGGTGTACCGATACCACTTTTTGGAGGCCGATCCGATATTTCCAATATTAAATTGATATCGTCCGATTTGTATTCTCTAAAGATATCAATGGTTTTAATTTTTAATATACTTTTTATTAGTATAACATCTATAATTTATTAACTATACCATAACTTAGGTCATTTAAATATATTATTATTTTATATTCAATTCAATTGCAATTCTAAACGTATCTAAAATATTTTTATTGTTAAATCACTTTTATATAATAAGTAATACATTAATCTATATATGCATAATGAGTATTAAACAAATTTATATGAAATTTGAAATAAATATTTAACCCTTCAATACTCCCGTAAAAAAAATGACGTTAGTACTAGGATGGGGTTTAATAGACCCCAATTTCAAATGTATATATCCAGTTGTATTCATTATTTTTAATTAATATTTGGATATAAGATAGAACTAACCTAAACTTGATAAAATATTTTTTTTTTTTTATTTCTTAAGCTTAGATTAAAGATGGTGAGGATAATTATAATTTGTGACAAATTTTTCTAAAAAAAGCTTACTTTTTTTTAAATTTCAAATATTAAATTAAAAAATTAACTTATCTATCATATAATCATGATAATTCATAATATGGATCTTTGTTCAATATAAAAAAAAATTACACTAATACATTCAAACATAAAAAAAATATAGAACATCTAAATATGTTAAATTTGACATGCAAAACATTTATTACATAAAACATTAATGTGTTCTAAACATAAATTTATTTTACATATTTGAAAAAATATTTTGTTTTTTTTATTTTAATGGTTAGATTTAAAAATTACAGCTAAATAAAGATTTTCCAATAATGTCTTGAATTGTGTTACATCAACTTTAGTAGAACTTTCATATTGGTCAGTATAGATTTTATATATAATTTTAATTTTTTCATTGGTATTATGATAAATAATCTCTTCAATCATTTTTGTGTTATGAACAAGTCAAAACATTTTTCTAGAGTGTCAGCTTCTTTCCCTTATTCTTTTACTTCTGGCAGATGAATAACTAAATTTTGTTGATGAATTCTTATTCTTTGATTAGGAAGATACTTTTTCCATTCAGTAAACTTATTTTTTTAGCAAATTTTAAAGAGAAATATACTATGATAAATGATTTCATATTTACCAAAATAATATTAAGTTTATTGTATTCAACTAACATTTCTTCTTCATCTAATTCAGATTGTGTATCATGATCACTATCATATAAAATCTTCATTTTCACTATTAATTATATTGTCATAATCACCTCAAATAAAATGATATTACATCTTAAATAATTATAAATTTAGTTTCAGAATCTGCAAAAATCATTATAAATTATAAAAATAATTTGAGCAATGAGTCAGCTGGTTAAAAATAATAATAAAATAACTCCACCAGAGAAAATCTTTACGTATTCTTTTTCTTATATCTCATTCAAAATATAAAATATTTAAATTTTGTTTTAATAAATTTTATAATATAATAGTATATATAATTTTAAAAATTAAAATTTCTTAAAAAATTACAAATTTATGCTTATATCTTAAAAACTACTCAACCAAAATATACGAAATTTGGAATATAGATTCTAAGATATATTCGATGAAGCTACTGAAGAATCCAGATCATAATATTTAACCTTTTTATGTTATATTGTTTCTAGCATGCCTGGGGTTTCATATACCCAACCAGAGTATTGAAGGGTTAAAATAATATTTAATATTAATATATCGAAGATTTCTTTTTAGAAATACCAAAATTTCCAATTTATCAGAGGTCAGCCTGCGGTGATGGTAACTGTCAATATCACCAGCTTTACTAAAAACTGATTCTGAAGAGATTATCGCACCTTTTATAAACAGAATGCGCAAAAAATAACAATATGGCAGAATTTTTATGAATTAATTATTGTTATTAAAAAAATAAAATAAAAATGGATTTCGATTTTATTTATAAAAATAAATGATTTCAGATATAACTTTTTAAAAAATTTTACATTTTATTTTTGTTAAAGAGGCCATTTTATATCGGATCGGAAAATTTTATAATATTGGCCGATAACCTATATTTTAAAATGTAAAATATCGATCCGATCCGATAAAATATATTGGTACATCCCTAGTTGAAAATTAATTTATTATTAAACTTCTGATAAATGGTTACTTTTAACAGGAAGATATATAAATATGGTTTATAAATTACCCAATTATTTAATGATAAGGTCAATGAAATATTACGAAAAATATAATATTTAATGATTTAGCCATCACTTTCCCCTTCATAATTTAATGCTTCAAACAAATTTACAATCAATTTTAAAAGTATATCGCCCGTTCTAAAATGATCATTGAAGATCCTTTGAGGTCATTTTTTTTGTAATACTATAATTTAGCGGAGACTTTTCGGTTTATTAATGTCTACATAGGAAAAAATCTAATTTTAGTTTGCAGTCATTTATCTGAATGTAAAATTGGAACAGGGAGAGGGTGGATAAAGTTCTCCGCGAAAAGGATATAAAATTAATTTTTGATTCAATTTTATTTAAAGGTTGCAAGAAGACCCTCCAGCCGGTATCAGTGGAGCGCCTACCGATAACAATATCATGCTGTGGAACGCAGTCATATTCGGGTTTATTATACTATATAATGCAAAATGATTAATATAAAATAATATAAATATAAGGAATGCACCACGACACTTGAAATTTGACAGTTAATTCTGAGGAATAAGCAAATAATAATTGAGTAGGTAGGTATACTGGAAAGGCGGGGAATGTATCTCTAACATTATATTGGGTAATCATATATATACATATATAAATTTATAAAACAACGACCGAAACCATTTTATATATATTTAATATATTATTTCTACTCCATATATCTTTACTTTACCCTAACGTCGTTCAAGAGGTTGGTTTAGTAAAATTGATCCTACTGGATCGAACCAAGGTAGTCTCCCTTGCCCTTGATCAAGGTAAAGATGATTTTTTAAAGATAATTTTATGAAAAACACATAAAATCAATAATGTCCGCGTGAAACCTTTTAGTCGGGTGACCAATAAAGACATCTTCACTTAGTGTTACATTAAAATTTACGATTGTACACGTGTAAACACGTCATTAAAAATGCCTAATCAATATATTTAATAGGCTTATGTTGTAAATCGATATTATAGTTTTTTTTTCAATATACTCGATAGAAAATAATGGTAGGGTATAAATGTTATATATATGACCAGGAAATAGTCAGATTGACTGTTTTTTTATTGGAATAGGCTGATTTTATATATATATTTTTAAAATAACCCTGGGAATTCAAAATGGTTTCTTTTATATAGTTCTTTCTTACCATTTAATAAAAAAAATCTCAATTTTGTAGGGGATTGGGGGGGGGGAGCGGTACACCGAAAGATATATTATTTTCTTTTAGAATTTGTATATTTAATCATACAGAAGTCTTCAGAATTTAGTCAATTTGTCAGCCCGGTTAGGATTTTTAAATTCTTTATTAAGTTCTGGAAGATCCTATCCGCCCTGTTTTTGCTAATATTCAAGAAATCATTCAAACTTCGAACAAAAATCTCTATTTTATAATATGAAACATCATAAAATGAAGATAATTTATTTGGCACCTAAAAATTAATGGAATAACATAACTAAATATTTTTGGCTAAACATCAAAAGTAATGCTATTAATAAATAAATCACACATAGACACGACAAGCATTTAGTATGATCCCTATGTTATCACTTGGATATATATCACAAATTTTTATTTGTTCATAATACCATCTTACACTTCAAACAAGATACAGCAGTCTAATTGGTACTCAATAAAAGCCATTTCAAAATTCTCTAAATTTTTTAATAGCTCCTCATTGAAAAACCTATAATACAGTACCTTTCAGATCCACCCTAATATATTTTTGTGAATATTTATATGCTGAGGAAATATGTTATTAAGCATATTATATTTTGAGTTTCATCGGACTTTCACATATTGATTGAGATTAGGGGTGTACCGATTCCACTTTTTGGAGGCCGATCCGTTATTCCCGATATTAAATTGGTATCGGCCGATTACCGACCTGATATCATATCTAATTTTGTATTTTGTAAAGATATTAATTAATTTTTACTATACTTTTTATTAGTATAACATTTATAATTTATCATACCATAACTTATGTCATTTAAATATATTACAATGATCAGTTATAGCTTATATTCTATTAAATTGCAATTTTAAAAGTATATAAAATATTTTTATTGTTAAATCACTTTTATATAATAAGTAATAACATTAATTTGTACACATAATAATTAATAAACAAATATATTATGAAATTTGAAATAAATATTTAACATTAATATATCGAAGATTTCTTTCTAAAAATACCAAAATTTCCAATTAGAGATCAGCCCGGCGATGGTAACTGTCAATATCTCCAGCTTCACTAAATTCTGAAGAGATTATCGCACACTTTTATAAACAGATTACTCAAAAATAATAACAATATGGCAGAATTTTTATTAATTAATTATTATTATTTAAAATAATTAACATAAAAATGGATTTCGATTTTAATTATAAAAATAAATGATTTTAGATATAACTTTTTTTAAAGATCTTAACTTTTGTTACTCTGTTATAAATATGATCACTAATATTTTAGAGATGGTCCATTTTTATCCACAAAATTTGAATCAAATATATTTACCAATAAACTATTTAATAAATGACCGTTATAGTTTAATAAACATTTATGGTTAAGTGCTTTGATTATATTTTTGCCTTGGTCAGTAATAAATATAATGCTTAAAAAATCTTCTCCATTGAACCCAAATTCATGGAAATTATTAGGAAGAATTCATTCTTTCGATATAGAATGTTGATAACAGTTAATTACTTTTTATGGTTATCAGTATCACAAACCTTATGTCAATTGTAGGTTTTTATTCAAATGGTTTTTAAAAATTAATAAAATTTTTCTTTTTAGTGAAAAGGCTCTTTTAAAATCAAATGAAAAATTTGTTCATCATGCATTAATTGTTATGCCAACTTGATATGCTATGCGTTTATTTCGTTCCATTCAGCATTCAGGCAACTGCGTCATGTTTAAAGTGATTATATTTTACTAGCTAATAACCCGTCAAGAATGACGGGGTTGAGGGGTAATTTCTCCCTACTTTTATGATAGTTGTAACCAGTTATTTGAAAATAATATCTTTTTATTCTTTATAACCCCCTCTCCCCTTCAGGCCAGGTCCCCAGGCCTGCAAAAAAATTTGTTTTAGGTCAATGTCTGATTCATAGTTGATAATAAAATTCCCAAGCGTCCAAGCTGATAATAATTTAAAATATTTCCTAAGCCCAGTCCAATATAATTTCATAAAAATATTTCTCAAGCCCAGCCCCACCCATAATAATTTTGAAAAATTTTTCTCAAACCTGGCCAACGCGTAATAATTTTGAAATTTTTTTCTCAAGCCTGGAGATAGGTAAATCTCCGAAAACCATATTCATTTTTTATTCTTTTTAATCCCGCTCAATCCTACTTCAGACCAAGACCAACTCAATAGGACTAATTTAAATATATTTTTACGCCAAAGGCCATAATAATATTGATAGTTAAGAACTGAAATAAAATATGTAAAAGTCATAATTCATTTAAAAATACAATCAGAATATGAAAGTTGCATGAGCCTTGGTTTTTTAATCAGGCCTAGCTATATCTGCAAAAAAAATTTTCAGGCCAATGTCTAACCCATATTTAAAATTAAAAAATCTTCAAGCATCTCTATTTTAAATTTTATCCAATATGATTTCCATCACAAATTTAAATTTTGATATTTCTAATACTCTTAATGCTCACTGTATTGCAACAATTTTACCTCTTTTTCTCCTAAATTTTAATATTTTTATAAAATTTATTAATAAATTATATTTAGTACCATACACACAAACTAAATAATTACCCTTCAACACCGTCATCTAGTTATGGTAATAAACGGCAAAATTTTAAAAATATCAGCTATTAATTAATATATATATAATTAATATTTTAAATTTATTCAAGTTGGTGCATGCGTAAAGCATACGCCTTTGAAACGGGAGGTTTGTGGTTCGACTCTCTTAGATAGCAAAAAATTAACATTACATTATATATTCTCCTTAAATTTTAAATACATTAGTGAGATACCAAAACGTTCATTTCTTGATTACGGTGATTATATATGTAGATTATTAATTAATATAAGTTTATGATACATATCTAAGTGATAAGATCATGTAAATATGTTTCTTAAAAATATCAAGCAATTTTTAATTGAAAAATTTTATTTGCATTAAATTTCATTCTATTTCTCACTTTTTTATCCCAAGTTTACATTATTACGTGTCTTATATGGCATAGAACATAACACTATATAAGCATTTTTATTATATGAAGAGAAATAAACTAGCTTATTTCCATTAACTTAAATGGAAGATAAACAAAAATCCCTCTTTCTATGACAAATGATCGAACCAGGGTCATTCCAAATCAAACACCTCAGAACCCACCTCGTTAAATTTGGATAATTTTCATATATGTTCTAATTAGATTAAAAACGAAAATTTAGCAATTAGATTGTTTGAAATGATGGGAATTTTAGGTACTAACTAAATTTACCCGCCTCTCTTACCCTTTATCGCCTGTTAAATACACGTGATATTACCAGAACTGAGAACCCAAGCCCTTCGAACCCTCTTTATAAGTTTAGGGTTCAAGGATGGTTTTTGGAATTGATAATATTAAGAACTTTTTTAATGAAAATCATTTATCGTGGAATCATTTTTATTATATTGTTATGTAAAAATTTTACCTTCATTTTCTAAAATTTTCTATCATTTCATAGATAATGTTACATATTCGTAACAATTTATTTTTAATTGTGATATACTTTTTCATTTTCGATAATGACGGTAAGGCGATAGTGTGTTATATTAAAAAATAAACTTTTATATTATGTAAATTGAACATAATATACGATTTTATATATGATATATATGTACATATTATTTTGAGAGAAATTCATTCGATATTGATTATTAAATTTTTATTTTGTTAACAATAAGAGACTTTATTCACATTCTATAATATTATTATCATACTACCGACGACAAAAGACTACTAGCTATTCCATTATCAGGGCAAGATTTTCCCCGCTTGTCAATGTGGTGGAGGATAGGGGCCAATCTAGTCTTCTCTGTATCGTTTTAATTTTATTATACGTATATTATGGTATTAAATAATATATTTTCCACATCCGGTAGAGTTGGTATCAGATAATGGACCAGCTTTAAGATCTTATGAATTTAAAAACTTTTTAATAAAAAAAAGGTATAATACATATATGTACTCCTGCATACCATCCTTCTTCAATGGTTTGGCTGAAAGAGCGGTACGCTCAGCAAAGAATATGATTTATAAATTAGGAGGCTGGGATGATAGGTTATTGGAAGATGTGTTATTAAATTATCGCAATACTACACATTCGGTAACAAAATCATGACCTGCTTTTAGATTATTCGGAAGGGAATTGAGATGGAAATGGAGTTTTATAAAAGACAATGACTGTTAT